GAAGATGAAGTAAAAGTGCTTAAATATAAGCGTTTTGAAGTCTGCTCTTTGCCATTTTCCTGCACTGTGACCCTGCTGTGATGTTATAAGAACAGAAGAAAAGTTTACAAACGAGAGGAGGCTATTTACCCACCTAGCCCATTAGGTAGTTAGTAGTTAATTGATCAAAGGTCTCAGCCAGGGTATCAGCTACAGCGTGGCTGGGTAGCCTGTTCCAGACTCCCACAACCCTTTGGGTAAAGAAGTGGCTCCTGTTCTGGGTTTTAAATGTAAAGATGTAAAAGCTTGATAATAGGAAATAAAACACATTGTTGTTCATTTATGCACAAATGAGGATGGCTGTTGTATTTTGTAGCTAACGAAATGCCTAAAAATGAATGTAGTGTCATTATATAGATGTATTAAATTGGCTTCAGACTGCTGTGGAATAGGTAGGTGTATTAATGTTTTTATTTCACCGGGTTATTTATAAAGTATCATTCAGAGTGACAACCTGGAGACATTTTACTTTACAACAGAGCAATTTGAATGACGGACCTGGGTCAAGAGAATGACAGCTATGAACAGGATATGAACTGGCAACCTTTAGCCCTCAGTCCCAATTGCTGTAGCGCACTGCTGCCTACCTGCTTGTTTTACTGGCAGAGAATTTCGAGGCATAAAAAATAACATACCATAATTAGAAATGTACATGCAAAGAGAATTAAAAAGCACTGTACTATAATATACTATACTATTATTTTTGTTCACGGAAATGTTTTATTTCATGTTTTATATGAGCCTGACCCGTTCAGAGAAGAGGGAGCAGATTCTGTCCCAGCTGCTGGTGTTGGCTGGGTTGTTGCGGACATGTGCATTCATTCATTAAACCACAGTTCACTTACAAGAGCAACAACTGTCCCAGCTCAGAGAGAGGTGTTTTTTTTTTGTCAAACACTAAGTGGTACAGTTACCCATTAGTAAGCAAACTCTCAATGAAGACATTTGAGAAAGTGGAGGAGTGGCCTAACTTCAAAAGCTGTCCTTTAAAAAAATCTTTTCCTAAATTTTCTAACCCTGAATTCAGTCACACACACGCATTACCTGCACACCTTTGTGATCCCTTTTGACAGTTTACCATAGTAAATCTGCACATGAGTACATCGTGTTTGCACTGTGCGTATTCCTTGCTTTGCTTCAACCCGGCTTTAACATACTTCATTTTGATTGTACCATGATAGACCACATTCAACTTTTAGAAAGCTATGAACAAACCTTAGCAATCAGTTACAAAATTTTGTTCCAACCATATCATGTACGTAGGGAATCCCCTTTTTTCAACTAGTGGCAATAAGTTGTGCCACCAGTCCCTCAAAGTACAGGCAGGCCCTGCTTTGTAAGCGATGTACTGAGCAACGTGTGGTTATGTGCAAATAGCAGGGCCGCATTTGCAGTCTCTGAACGATACTGCACCCTCTAAGATGGAAGTAGAATATTTGAAGTGCTGAGTGTATAAAAGGCAAAAACATTAGAATGTCTGTTGGCTGCACTTCCTGATTGCTTAGGTGTGGTTGCACCTCCAAGAAAAGATTCAGAGGTAATGTGCTGGGGTTTAGTCAGCGCACTGCGCTTGTGCCAGTCTCAGACTGGTGGGGGAAGGGGTGATGCCAGCCTGCAGGGCGTGTCTTGGTTTCTCTGGAAACGGCCAGAGCCTAAGCCCCTGCCCCTGCCCCTGCCCCCTGCCTCATGTGTCTGCCCCTGTCTATGCCCATTCCCTCTGCCCCCTGACCATGTCTATGCCCATTCCTCATGATCTCATTTCCCCTGCATCAAGCCCATGTCCATTCCCCTGGCCCCTGGCCCCTGGCCCTGATGTCTTGTAGCTGATGGTCAGCTGGATTGTGATTGCAGGTGTTCCTCCCCTGCAGCAGGGCTGGCAGCAGCTGAGCAGTGTCCACGATGCCCCCGGGTGTGTCCTGCATGCAGGATTTCTGGGAAGAGGCGGAGAGCCCCGAGATTCGAGTCGACTTCCTTCTGCCGACAGGGGTATACCTGAACTTCTCCGTGCCGCGCAGCGCCACGATCGCCAACATCAAGAAGGTATAGAACTGTGTTCCAGTGACGTGCGGGCGATATGATCTGGGCCTTCACCTGGAAGTGTGTGGTGTGTTCAGAGGCAGTTGGGGTGGGCATGCTGACCCTTCAGCCTTGTTTGTTGTGCACTGTTGTGGTCATAAGAGCTGGACAGCTGGACAGGGGAGGGGACAGTTGTGTCTGTGAGCCTCTGGACAGGAGCTCTGCTGGTGTTTCAAGGTTTGATAATTGAGATTTTGTCGATGTCGGATAGAACAGTTTTGCTGTATGTCAAAACTGTTTCCCCACTACTGTCACATGGGGATATTTCTCAAGAAAACCACAATGTCAAAAGGTTTATAACTCTTTTTTTGTAAAAATTGTTTTGGGAAACAAATTAGAGTCCCAGTTAGGGGAATTACACTTAGAATGTTCTTTATAACATGTCAAAATGTAACACAATTTTTCCTTTTAAATCCCAATGAAACACTCAAAGCAATAGTTTCTTGGCATTACTGTGCAATGTTTTTTTTTACTGTTTAGCCACTATTGAATACTGACTTTCTGTAATTGAGAACTTCAATTAAGAAACTTGTACAGCTGTATTTCATAGCTTTCTTTGCAAAGCATGTCTCTCGCTGTCTCCATGGTCTTTTCATGTTTTCTTGCCTTGTGCAATACCTACTCACACTCCGGCTGTCTGGACTGACAAAGCAATTTCACTCCTCAAATGAGAAGCAGCTTTGAATCCTGGTCTTGCTGCAGGCCAGATTCTTTTCTTGATAACCACTTCTCTGCTCTTGCCATTCATCCAGTTATCCTGAAATCAGGCAGGAGTTACAGTCATGCGCTTCTTTTCCCAATAAGATAAATTAGGCAGGCAGCACACGTGCGTCGGTGTGTTAGATGGCAGACCCCAGTTTCATAGTTTGACAAAGTTCACCATTTAAACAGTGGAGTGACACTATTGGCCACCAGGTCACTAGCTATTTTTATGCACCACAGAGGTTTGTTAGCACAGGATGGAGTTGGGTGGGTGTCCATGAAGGAGTGTTCTGGCATTGCCCTCTTTATTTGAGCCAAGACGCTGTAACTGTACTCTGCTTAATCTGTGACGGATGAGGGAACAGGGAATACTTGGAGCCTTAAGAACAGAACACTAAAGCACAAAGCTAACCTGCAGAGGAGCCCAAATCTTGTCTGAATGTTGATGTGCAGGACCCAGTAAAAAATATTTTCCCTGATGTGTATTTCTCTCTGTCTCTCTCAATCCTCCTCTGCCTCACCCCCTCACTCTCCATCCTCCTCCGCCTCACCCCCTCACTCTCCATCCTCCTCTCCCTCCCCCCCTTGCTCTTCCTTGTTCTCCATCCTCCTCTGCCTCACTCTCTCGCTCCATCCTCCTCTGCCTCCACCCTTGCTCTTCCTCTTTCTCCATCCTCCTCCGCCTCATTCCCTCACTCTCCATCCTCCTCCTCCTCACTCCCTCACTCTCCATCCTCCTCTTCCTCACTCCCTCACTCTCCATCCTCCTCCTCCTCACTCCCT